TATACTTGTTGATGAACCTTTGAAGATACCCATTGCTCTTCAATGTCTTTTCAAGAAACTCAAATTCTTCCTCTAATTTCTCTATAGAGCATATTCCCCTCGCTTTATAGTACAGAGTCTTGACTAGACCACGTTTAAAGCTATTTGGACAAAAGCTATTATCCTTTCCAAGTAGACTTTCGATAGATTGACTTTTGTAGACTACCGTCTTCTAAATTTCCATGGCGATGTCGAGGAAGTGAAACTTTCCGTCACTTTCATGTTCCATAGTGAACACAATATTGGCGTGGTAACTGGATATTTTTCACTCGAATGCGAGATGCTGAAAAGTTTTCATTGTGTATGATTATTATTGTTCGGAATAGTGTTTAATATTGCATATATATATATATATATATGTACTGTGTACATCATTAGTGTATGCGTATATTGATCGATTGATTTTTGTTTAAAATGAAATCTGTGCAAGTATGTTAAAATTGTTTTTGTAGATACATTTAATAATTTTTTTGCCCTGTAAGCAGCTGACGAGAAGGCAGCGAAATAAAAGATGGTACCATTTTATTCTGCTAAAACTGTAGTTCTTGCTTTGTTTAAATTCATTAAGGGGAATAAATATATGAAATTTCAATCAGTATTCTATACTAAGTCTATAAACAAGTGTTTTTACAAAGGAATGCATTGTACTTTTAATCGTATTCTTTCGTCTTCTTCTAACTTGTACGCGATCGTATCACTCACACCTTCAAGTTGCCCACCAATGGTGACCATAGCCACTGAACTAAAGTTCAGTGTTCATAAACATTGACAGAGGTAGTGTTACTAAACAGTCCGTTTCTCCCATAATTAGTCATAATCAGAACTGACAGAAGAAATCTTAATCTGATCATATTAGATGGTTGGATGCAATCGGCAGGAAGCCCGGCCTTGGACCTAGGTTTCGTACCAGTTGACACTCACCAGTCAGCTAGAAAGGCGTATCTGCAATCTTGAACGAACTCATGTCCCACGTCACCCAGTGCCGCCTGCAGTCTAAGACGTTACCACTAAGCTACTCGGACTCGCGACTGACCTCTTGTAGGACTGTAGTGGATACTTTGATTGGACACTAGTAACTAATGTGACCACGTCTGTGACTGCAGGCGGCACTGGGTGACACGGGTTCGAATCTCAGAAGGGACGTGAGTTCCTTCAAGGTTGCAGATACGTCTTGCTGCATGGTGAGTGTCAACTAGCACGAAACCTAGATCCAAGGCTGGGCTTCTTGCCGGTCGCCTACAACCATTTAATATCATCAAATCAAAGTGCATCGTGATGGCGAGCTACCTAGAATGGTGGCCACATTGCAAACCTGACTGATAGAATTCAGTCTGCAACAAAGAAAGGACTAGACACACATCACACTGGTTTCTAGTGTTTGTAACGACAGAAGGCAAGAGTCAGGCAACAGATCATTTATTAAGGAAATCAACGCATTTTATATATGTTTTCATGTACATTACTATGGATATGTAAACAAACAGACACAGTCTTCCGATTGGTCGTTTCTCACGACAAATCTTGGGAAAGTAAATATTGACGTAAATTACTGCCTACCAATTTGGCTAGTAGACAGCTCTCACCACAGTTCAATCAAAATCCTAATCTATTAGGTAGTGTGCTTACACTACACTGATAGTTACTCTGTCATTTACATAAACACTGGGCATAACAAATGATGATAACAATGAAATGATAGCGTAATTGGCAGCAATGCCTATTAGCACAGCAAGCAGATGATTAGGCTAATTACATGGCGGACTGTGACGGCTCTAACCTTAGCATGATCAAAATTTTCACCATCAGTAACACCCTGTCACATTAAAAAAATTTTTAGAGGTTATTACAATTAAAAGTACATTCATATTTCACCATAAAACATGTGGAAATAGTACTCACTCTATTATATTTATTTTGTTACAAAATACCTTTTAACATTTTTAGTAATAATAATAGTTTAATTTTGAGTATGACAGAAAATTCCAAGTTGGTTTGAGTCAGAAATGTGTACTCTCTGAGGAAAATTTTAAAGTAAACTAACATTTGATCATACATAAATATTGTTTGGTGGAATATAGTACGAAGTAAATCACGGTGCAACTCCATATGGTATTTTTTCCCTGCATGTTCTCCCAGCGTCTCAGAAGGATTGGTTAAAAACTGTACAATAATGCTTGTGAGGACAATATTGAGGGAGTGATTACATCAATACACAGGGAATAAAACTTGACGTTACACTTAACTGTATGGCAAAGTGGACCATTAGGCGATTTAAGGAACCTCTTAATTTTTATATGGTATCAAATAACAAGTAAGTACTACGTAAGAAAAACTGAAAAAAATAAAAGGCAAATTCAACGAAGAAAATTTTCTTTATCGACCAAATCATCTTCACAGGCTGTAATGTACACTCGTACTTATATTTACCGAAAATGTATATTAGTCGATTATTGAGTAATAGGTGGGGTCGGGGGGACATAATTGATATAATTTCTCAGAAGTGGCTACAAAAGTAAAAATAAAAATTGTAAATTACGTAGTATTCAATGGAACAAAGGAAGAAGGCGTTAGAAATTTGATAAGCTTAAAATTGCGGTGAATTTCAAGGCGATACCGCAGCTGAGATCCTGAAGAATCGCTTATGCAGATCACTGAGTCAAGTGTTTTTTGCGGCTGAGCTACCGATCGATTTCCACAGCCGACAAATGGTCAGTGGATGTGTGAAGGATAAAATGCCGCTTTGGGTAACTTCAATGTGTGTTTATAAATTCACATGCTTGTTTGCAGCTAGTTATATTGGCCGCACAAAGCACACAATTTCCAAACGCATCTCTGAACATTATCCAGCATGGTTAGCAAAAGCACAATGCAGGACAGTTACTAGCTCAACTACCGAGCACTTGGCGAACTCAAGCCACGCAGCTCCATCAGAGTCGTCTTTCAAGATCATCTACAAGGTGAGGCCAAGTGGTACAAGAGGCCGTCAGGTATCGGCATTTGTGCATGGCGGAGGCGTTGGCATTTCGTCAATACAACCCCGAACTCTGTATACAGAAAACGTTTTTCCGGTCTCTTATTCTACTTCAGTCTTAACCTCTTCAATAGTCGTTCCCTGTAAAATATTCTATATTTTAGTTTTTTATCTCAAGTTTTACTTTCAGTTTGGTTTTACTTTATTAATTAATTCACTGTCACCACGCTCACATGTTCCTTTTGTGCATTTTCACACCCTCTTCACACTTGTTAAATTGACATTCAACTACCTTTATTCTCACTCAATGGCAATTTTAAGCTTATCAAATTTCTAACGCCTTCTTCCTTTGTTCCATTGAATACTACGTAATTTACAATTTTTATTTTTACTTTTGTAGCCACTTCTGAGAAATTATATCAATTATGTCCCCCCGACCCCACCTATTACTCAATAATCGACTAATATACATTTTCGGTAAATATAAGTACGAGTGTACATTACAGCCTGTGAAGATGATTTGGTCGATAAAGAAAATTTTCTTCACTGAATTTGTCTTTTATTTTCTTCAAGAAATCTGTCTAAACCAGTAGTTATATTGGCAGATGAAGACTAATTTGGTTCACCGATAGAGATCATGCCATCAAATTGAATAAAAATAAATAACTGACTAATTCTCACTTACTCAGCCCTGAATACATTTGCAGTTGCAAATTTATTCTGGTGAAGTACTATATCTTGGCATTAAAAGTTTATTGTTTTTTTGGTGTTAAAGTCTAGAATATCTCATACATCGTTTCTTGCAAACATTTTTCCGAAGCTATGTGATGTCTTATCGCTAAGTCACTGGCGAATGTCACTTTTTCTAGAACTCTAAAATTATTGACCAGTTAATCTACACCTACCTACTCTCTGTTTCCTTCAATGTTACACCGGAGGAATAGAAGACAAATAACCTAAGAACACAAGCACAATTTCTTGTATTTTCATGATGTTTTAATACCAATGAAATCTTGAAAAACAGACATAACATCGAATAATTTGAATAGTTCAAAGAAGAGTCAACGACCTTCAAAATCGATTGCTTTGAAGGTGGAGGTACATATTGAGATAACTCATTTGAAATGATTGATTTCGTATGCTGTTCAAAGGATTTTTTTTGGGGGGGGGTAGTTGTTTACTACAATGACTTCAAGCTGGTCTTATGATTTCGAGAATATTGTTTTACTATCTCGAAACTGCTCAAGTGAAACTCTAGGGGCAATTGGATTTTCGCTTACACCATAATGTTTCTGAAACGTGTTATGCAGCCATTGTGCTTGTCGATTGGATGAATGTGTGGAACACTGGATCTCAATAAAATGTTTACGATGCTGTGACCAGCCAAATCCCTGAAAATCAACACTTGACAGTCAATCTGATGCTCACTAGAGACTGGTTGTGTAGAGGAAGCTGTGTGGAGTTCTACTGAGAAGGCGTAACTAGTGTGATCTACCAAGTCAGGTAAGAGATCAGTAACTCACCGTGTCACACGGTGTATGTATATATACACGTATCGCGAATTGGTAGAAGTTAGAATTCATGGATCTTTGGGTCTGGTTCTAGAGGCTAAATGGTTTAGGAGCCCGCCTTGCAACCAGAAGGTATGGGGTTCTAACCCAATTGGTGCGTACGGCAGAAGAGTTCAAAACTACGCTGACGAAACAGCCTTCCAGTACTTCCTGCTGGTTTTCCAATGGTTCTCCAACTCATGTCAGCTAGTGATCATACCTGTAAAGAAATTCTCAGGAGAAAATATCCCTTTGTCTGATGAAGAGGAGGATATTACTAATTCGTTGACAACAATTCATAATTTCAGTAGGGTTATCAGAACGTTGACACATCTGTTGGCAGTTGTACACTGAGTAATCCTTTCTACGTGAACTTTCACAATAAACGCAGTGGTGGAATAAATCCAGAGGATGCAAAAACAACTAGTAACATTTTGTCTGTATATTTTTGGTCTGTAAAAAAAGACACACACGTTGAAAACATATCATTGAACAAGAATCACCATTCATTGAAAGTGATCAGTGATCATCAAAGAGAAGACAAATAATTCTGTGAATAATTATTATCCCAGTATTCAAATCCACTGCCTCGATAGACAACAGCAAATTCTAATAAGTAGGAATTATAATCTACCGAGTATACTGACATTTCATTGAATAGTGCTAAGTGTAGTTTAATCTGTGACTCATAAGTCTCTATCCATTGATGATCAGTGTAGGATTCGGTTAAATGATCAATTCTTGACAACGGGGGGCATTCTGTGTATGTTCGCCAACTATCCAGAGTATAGCGCAGTCGAACCTCAACAGTAAAGTCAGGATTATTTCTACTGGAAGTGGTTATCGTCTTCACTTGAACACAAAATGATTCCGAGTTTTCAGACCAAAATTGACACAGGCATACACGTTGGTCAAGAAGACGTTGATTAAAATTATTGAATGTTATTGGATTGGCAAATTTCGGTATCCATTTCTGTGCAAAATTAAAAAAAAGCACAAGTAGAAACAGCGAAAATAAAGATGGCGAAATGAAACAAATTAATAAGTTTGACATTGATAAGAAAAAATTCATCTAGTAACTGAAAACCACATGTAGACTGAACACATTTCACATCAATTAATATGGTGTAGGTCTTACCTCATTTCAACTCTCATTCCAATGAGATTATTGGATTTATGGGATATAGGATCTATTTCATTTGTAAGATTTTCGTCATTAACCAACACCATTATTGGTAACCATCGAAAACCAAACAGCACCGTTTCGCTCTATTCTGGGACTCTTCAATACTGAGCACCCACTAATTCGGCAGGTATCGAATCCTGGACCTACTGGTTAAGAGATCAAGCTCATTAACTATTCAGACGCCCAGACTCGAATTCACTGATCCATGATCCCTCAGCGATGTCTTCGATGAGTTTCAACTTATCCTTGGCATTGTCGACTCCACTGGTCATGAATTTCAACTCCAACCTCAGGAAATTCGTCCAGTGGCCATCAACGAGCTGGTGAGTCATATTAAGATTACAGGATTTGTGGGAATTCTGAATTAATTTAAATTGTTAGATTTTGCCTCACAAACTGGTTGGACTTGCTGAAGCTGCAGTGAAAAGTGGTGACCACTGGAGTCCGCCATGCCAAAGTGAAGTGGATGCTCGTCAAAAGCATTGCTGAAGGCAGCGCATTGTCATCAGTTAACAAAGTTAGAATTCAAGGGTCACAGAAACACCAGGCCGAATGGATGAATTCCCATTGACCCTGGTCTATTAACCTTAATGCCCTGGGTTCGATTCCTGGCGGAGTTGTGGGTGAGTAGTATTAAGGAGTCGTAGAATGGGACGAAACAGCTGTCCAGTGGTTCCCGGTTTCTAATGATCTCACTAACTGGTTGTGGTTCCTAACGAAAATCTAACAGTCGTAGTTTTTTGATGTGATTCCATTCTCTGAGCTGGATGGATGGTTTATTTGCGAAGCTTTCATTGAGCTACTAGGCAACATCTTCAGCGCATACTCATTGTGGCATTCCCACCTTAAGGAAAATTGAAGAAAGATATCTCATGGACGTCTTCTGAAAGAATGGATATCCATGGAATTTCATCAGAAGACATATACCCTCAAGTCAACCTATCACATCAAAGGTCCCCCAGGAAAGAACAAAGAAAATTACTCTAACATATATAAAAGATATCTCAGAAATCACTGCAAGTCTCTTCAAACCTTTAGGAATTGACGTCGTACACAAACCAACAAAATCACTTCACTCAACTCTCAGCCAAACAAAAGACTGAACAACGAAATAAGATAAAACCAACATCATCTACAAAATAAACTGTAATAACTGCGAAAAACACTACATTGGCCAAAGTGGACGTCCCCTTCGTCTTCGTATCCATAAACATAAGCTAGCCGTCAAAACACATGACACCCACTCCCTCATACCACTACATACAGATAACCACGGACATCGATTGGACTGGGGTAACCAACGTTCAAATATTAGACAGAGGGAACAACAAAAATGCTAGAGAATTTTTAGAAGTCTGGTATTCCAGTGAATCATCAATCAATCGACACATCGACATAGAGAAAATTGACAAATCGATAAGAAGGAGATCTCATACACAAAGGGTAAAACTTCAGGTCAAGGAAGCAATCAGTATCAATACAAGTAAACTAGAGGGTGTGAAAACACACAAAAGCAAGGTGTTGCCAGGAGAAATGACTCATAAGCTCGTGTAGAAATCTAAAAGCTCACTTCAGAGAATTGAAGTATTCGCTGAAGATGTTGCCTAGTAGGGCAATGAAAACTTCGCAAATAAACCATCCAGCTCAGAGAACACAACCACATAAAAATCATCCACCTGAGCTACAAATCTCCATTATATCTAAACGTAGGACGTGATGGAGAAGAGATTATCGAAAAGAATATTTCATACATTTATGCCCCTTATTCAATTTAAATAAAGCAAGAACAACAGTTTTTGCAGAATAAAGTGGTACCATCATTTATTTCGTTGCTTTCTCATCATCTGTTTACAGGCCAAAGTCATTATTAGATATATCTACAAAAGCACTTTTAACCATGAATCCCCTTTCATGTCCCTCTTCGAACATGTAATCTCAAAGATAAACGCGAGCCACTGCGAAACTCAGATCACTGAGGTTATTTTGTAACGACAGAAGACAAGGGCCAGGCTACAGATCGTTTATTGAGAAAATCAAGAGATATTCATCGTCAGCGGAGAAGCAACGTCTTTTGATTGGTTGTCTTCTTGCCAGAGGTTATTCTGTACTGCATGTGACCGTTTCTTAGAAAGTGAAGCCATATATCTGCGAATTGTATCTGCACACGTTAAGTCCGCTGTGATTGGTTGACGAATTCCTCAAGGTTAAGCTTTGTCATTGTTTTTCTCATGACTCTGATTCGGGACGTAAATATTGACGTCAAGTGTTGTCTACAATTTCGGCTTGCAGCCAGCTCTCACGACAATTTAAATTATCTTTACAATATTTTCACGAATTTTACACAGTGAATAAACAAGATGTGTAGATTTTTATTTGATTTAAGTACCTTCGTAATAGCTCTGCAGCATCATTGAGACAAATGTTTAAGATACTAGTGAAAAGACCAATATTTACCTCAACTTTATCAAACTCATCAGTCAGTTCATAATGTACCTCATAACTTCACCGATGTCTGTGGTATAGCCATTACATCTCCTGTCAACCATGCAACTTCTTTTGTGCTTTTTTTTTCAGAATCAATCGAAACATCACAAAAACATGAACTATAAGTTCAGTTGACACATACTTTAGTTGTAATTCGAAGACAATTGACTTCACTTTAAGAAAATTACACGGTAATTTTATATCTTTTAGTAAAATCCCTTGTATATTATATGCAGTTTAACCAGCTGAACTACAATACAAAGTTCTGTGTTGAAACTGGCGTAGAAATCCTTGTCAAACAATCACTTTATAGAAGTTACGAATTCTTCTCATACAAAAAATAAACAGACCGGGTTATAGACGTTAAACTATGAACAAAACAAGTCATAAACCTGCTACTGTTTCTGTCCACAAACACACACAATAGCAACCCTAGAATGCCGAGGGAAGACATGTGCAGTTAGCTGTCTAAAGTACACAATGTAAACTACATTAAGAAATTTAGACAATCTGGAATCACCCAACCTCCACTTTCACAATTTGTCAACTCTTGTATCTTACCTATTCTACTTTACTGCTTCCCGTTAGTCTTTCCTGGCCTACTGAAAAAGGACTATACCATCCTGAGAAGGATGTGGAAGGTAGTTAGTAGGAGTAGTGGTGTGAAACGCAGTCAGCTCGTCACTACATTAGTTGAAAGGCACCTGAATACATGCGAAAAATGGTCAAAAACCATACTCTCCGACCCCCAACACCCCCTCTATTCCCAACTCTCTCCTTGTATCTCATCAAGTAAAACCAGAAATCAGTATAAAATAATCTATGCTCATACAACCAAGTACAGGAACTCAACGATACCATACTTGGCCCCTGTTCTAAGTGATAGAGACAATGTTAAGCGTGAAACTAATGGCTTGCTTTGTTATTAACAACATAATTTTAGGCTCTTTTATTTCTCTCTTATTTTGTATTCTATAGTGAACTCCTTCTTAAACATACTTAGCTACCTAAATTATTAACATTGGCTTCCTTTTTTGGCTTCTTTTTTGTACTTTACTATATTCCTTCTATTGTGTATCCACTGGTTCCGACTATATTAGCACTATGAATATTACAAAATTGTCCTGTCATTAACTATCATATAATTATTAGTTTTGTGGTTGTTTTTTTCCTATTTTTAAAAAAATTCTTTTTCGGCAATATTAAACTGACAATCATTGGTTGTGAACGCCATTGTCACCACCTTAAAAAAAATTTTGTATTATTCAGGATTACTCACACTACCACTACAAACACTGCATTAGATCGGACAATAAAAAGCAAAACAACAACTCTGAAATGTTATTTTAAGACTTTTTAGAGTTGTTTCAACCAAATTAACTGACCATCCTGGCGATAAACATTCCTAAATATCATTTCATAACTTCTTTTATGACTATAGCTGTCACCATGCATAATCATATCATAGCTTCCACTACCCAATACTGAGTTATTATTATATGATGTTTATTTTACTTTCTACTTCTTGGTATTTTATCGCATTTTTTAAAATTATTTTGTTTTTCCTGTTTTTTTTTGCTGTCGTTGTCTTTATATTTATTTTAATGAAATACTCCTTTTAAATGTTTGATAAAATTAGATGCAAATATTGTAGATATGTGCTGAAAATTCCACACTGTACCACTTGTACTGTTTCTGGAATAAAGCAAATTATTATTAATTAAAAAAAAATTCCAGCTGAATATCACCAAGTTTCAACTTGGAAGTTATGAATGAATGCGTCGGTGGCACAGTGGTTAGGACTCTCGCCGACCATGCACATGGTCCGAGGTTCGATCCCCTGCCGACGCACACCCGAAATCTATGGTTGGCCTGTAAAATTTGGGCTACCGATATCCATGCTGAAAATGTCATACTTGTACTGAAAATACGGTGTGGCATCAAGCTGTAACCAAAATAAATAAAATAGATAAAATAAAAATGACACAGCCGCAGCTACACTTTAGTTGTACTATACACTGAGGAAATCTATCACCTATCAATACCATGTAGATAACCAGTACAGAAGACCATTGTTCTTTAGAAAGCACCTAATTGCTACATAATAAGTCACATGACGGAATCCATCAATAATCTGTGAAAACCGCATAGAATTACTGATTTTTGACTTATGGTATCTATTATTATTATTCTTTGTTTTTGTATTTTTTTTTTCACTTTATATGATTCAAAAGGTCATCATATGGTGTATCTTCATTCTTTCGAGTACTCACTTCCTGTTGTTTGCAAATTAGTGTGTCATA